TGTTTTAGGAGGTAGGACATCTTTTCTTTAGCTCTCCTGTATTAGGGCTTGTTTCCACCAGCCTGTGCATCTACTGCAAGTCCTGTGCCTGGAAATGCATTGAGCATGCACTTTTTTTTTTGCAATCGCATTACGCTGGAATGCGGGGCATTGCATTACCACGCTTTCCTGTGCGGCCGTTCGTACTGTGGGCGTGTCTGCAGTGCAATTGACTTGAATGGCACTGCCACGCCCCCTCCCACCCCAGAACACGAGGAGACTTTATGTATGCGATCCCTTGCGTTCCAGGCCCGGGCTGGTGGAAACAAACACTTAAACATTAACCAGTAATTGCTAGCACTTTTCTTCAATTTTTTAAAACTTTAATCAAAACGCTTCTTTACATCACAGCTGGGTTCACACTGGGTGTAGGCTGGTTCAGCTGAGCAGTAGGAACGACCTAATTTGCATAGAACACTCTACTATTCTAGTAGAGGTCTCATGGAAGCTTCCCATCTCATATTTTGGTTGGGTCTTATATCAGTACACATATGTAGAGCACTTGAGTTGAATTACTTGACTGCAGAACCCTTGTGCATGATGATGTGTTTAATCTGTATAGTCTTCAAGGGGCCGAGGCCTACAGGCGACATTTGTGAAGAAAAGTAGTATTAGGAGTACATCACAAACACAGGGTGTGGCACATGTGTCCCTTAACTCCAAGAAATTGATTTTACGGTTAGGTGTAAAAATCTTGTTTTCTTTATCATTCATTGAGGGGTGGGCAATACAGCAAGGAAAACAGGTATAGCAAGCCTACAGAACAGTGCAAAAACAGGGGGCAGTCTGCAGTTCAGAGAAATGCCTGTAAGACCTTATGTCCAAAGCTTGACACAGCTGAGACTCACACATCCACCTGCTCATACAGAGAACATATAAGGACCAGATGATGGCTTTGCAAATCTGAGAAACAGATGCCCAATGCCAAAGAAGCACTTACTGATCTAGAATGTGCTTTGACAGAAAAGGGTGAAACCTTAGCCTTAAGCCTATAAGAGGAGTAGGGAACCTCTGGTCTTCCAGCTGTGGTATAACCACAAATCCCATTAGGTATTACAAGGCTCTAAAAGGCATGACTTGCATAGGCAGATTAATAAGGGGGTTTATAGTTAGTTTCACCGCACCTGGAGGTGTGGAGTTTGCCTAGCCCTGGCCTATAGGCTTGTAGATGATCCTTCAGAGTCACAGAGAAAATAGTGGAAGGAGAAGCAGGTTGTCCCTTTGGGGTCCCACAGGAATGACAAAAAGAGAGTCAGTCCTGCCCAAGGAAGATGTAGCTGCAAGATAAATCTAAAACTTCTCTCACTATGTCTGTGAAGGTTCTCATTTATCCAGGTCATGGTATATCTGTAAAAAAAAAAAAGTCAAGGCAACTGGACTTGCTGTATTTTTCCTGAAGACATTTCACTAGTCAGCCAATCAGCTTTCTCAATTCAGAATGACTTGTACAAATTATCTGGGAATCAATATGGTGAATGTTGCTTCAATCCACATAATCTGTTAGTCACAACCAGGTGTTGATTGCATTTGGATAATTGGAGCTAAGAGGTGTTACTGACCTTTTTCCTTTAGATGTAGGTATACTGCTGAATCCTGAACAGAGGGTTTGGCTCTTCTATGCTGTGCCATATGCTGGTGCAGCTGCTGTTTTGGGTCACCAACATACAATTCTGAGCATTCCTCACTGCACTGCATGCACAATGTTGCTCATCTTGTGTTTTGGCATTTGAGTCTTTTTGGTGAACAAGTTGTTGCCTCAGTGTTTGCTGGGTTTGAGCCAACAGAACCAGCCTGGGATCTCTTGGCATCACTGGAGGTTGTACAAGTGGGACTATACAAGTGACACAAAGACCTTTACCAAGGAATAAGACAAGCGATCTTTGGAACAGGACTGCCCTCTTAAAAGGTAGGCAGGGCTGACACTTCGGCTCAGTCAAGCCGAAGCAAATACCTTCGGCTCGGCTGAGCCCTTCGGCTGCTGTACAGGCTATTGTGAATGTACAGCAGCCCTTCGGTTCAACTGAACCCGAAGGGCTCCAGTGGCCGAAGGATCAGCCGAAACTATGGCTGGATCCTTCTGCTCCTTTGTGAAAAGCCCCCTTTGCCTTCAGGAAATCGTCAGTCTTTCTTGGACTGCTGTCATACAAGTCCAGTACCGTAGAGGGATAAAAGAAAATCTGATTTGCACTCTGCATTCCAGAACCTCAAGTAAAGGTTAAATTGTGTTTACTTCTGCTGATTGGGGATGTCATGGAAGAAGTTTGACTTTGCCCATGTGTTCATAAAAGCACTAAAATGTGTTTAGTTGTGTATATATGGATATTATTATCCTTGAATATGGAAAGTCAGGAGGAAGCAGTGTTTGTACTGTTAGGTTCATCTGTTCCTTTAGTATTCTCAGATACCTTGGCTACTATACAACCATACAGAGCAAAGATCAGACTTAATCACTCATGGAGATGGTTGTATATACCATTATGGATCCGCAGTATGTCAAACAGTTGGCATCAGATAGAGATTGAAGGCATACTTTGACTCTCACCAAACGCAAACCTATGCAGATATGGTAACTGCTCATCACACTAATCAAATTCTTTAGTCATTTTTGGAACATGTGCTTTAGTCACATTTAAGAATTATCCTAACTCCATTTATTCCTGTTGAACTTACACTTGCAACCAATATACCTCTTTAGAAAACCAGTTTGTTTATGCTGGTATTATTAAAGACTGTTCCCCTAGATATGTCAAATAATTTTAAATGTATTTACCAATATACACTTGCAGTTCATGCACAGAGTATTGGGCGTCTTTGGAGCCCTAAAATGAGAATAGGCAATGCAATAAAGTACTATCGGACACATTCCTTTTATAGATCACACATACTGCTAGTTCACTCTAAAATACATTTACTTTGTAGCTGTGCTTGGAATTGTGTTTTAATTACTTCATACCTAAATTCTGTGTGTGGGAATTTTTTTCCCCCCACCCCCTGAATGACCAACAGTAGGCTGGGGCTAGGAGATGTGTATACCATTCAAGGTGAGTGGCTCACCACAGGCTCCATTGCACAGTCCCTTGGTGCTGGTCAGGCTCCGTGCACGCTGGCAAAATCAATTGGAAAGTAAATTAAATCACCACACTTTAGGCTACAGCATTCTTTTCTTGTTTATTTAAATGGTAGGAGTCACCCCTGACATGTTATGTGTTGGAGTAGTTTCTTAAAGAGATTCTTCACTGTATTCCCGACAGTTTCGCCAGAATGCTGGCGAGGAAATGGACAAGTGGGATCCCTGTTCCACATATACTGGTCTTGTCCGAGGTTGCAAGCCTTCTGGAAGATGGTTCAAACCACACTGGAATGGTTGCTACAGTCAAAGCTCCCTTTGCAGCCTATTCATTACCTACTGGGCCTTCCGTTCCCCCACCTCCGTAAGCATGATCGTAAACTGGCCTCCCATTTTATGACAGCGGCAAGATGCCTCATAGCCCTCCAGTGGAAGCGCCAGACTCCGCCAACTGAGGTGGAACTATATCAACATGTTAAGGAGGTGCAGGTGTTGGAACACCTGACGGAAAGGTTGAATAACACTCTGCATAACTATAAGAAAGTATGGTCAGCCTGGACTTCTATGGAGGACCAATTGCTAGTATCACGATGAGCTACTATGTCTCAGACGTAGAGGCTAGCCATTAGCAAGGCAGAACCAAGATCAACAGGGACTGGAATGAGACCTAGGTGGCAGACCCGAGGAAGAGTAGGACATGATCAAGAAGGCACAAAGTCACTTTAGAATGTTATACATCTCGGAAGTGGAGTGAGGTACTTAGGTTTAGACGTGCGTATAGATATGTTCCATCCTAATGATAAATATGTTCATGACTTAAATTCATATGCACCTTCTATCGATACATACAGTTTAGTCACTAATATGTGCTAAATATTGGGTGGAAAATGAGCTGGACAGGCAATTTTCTCTTATTGAAGGATTGTGTACCACTCACCTTGGAGGAGTTTATCAGTAGGAAAATGGAATCCTAGATAGATTGCGAATGCTCTTACTTTACATGTATCTTGATATTCCGAGGTCACGGTACTTTGCCCTATAAACAATGAATGCTAACATGTGAAAATGTCTCGATTATTATGCCGATTCCTTCTCTGTATATTTTACTTTTATTGTCCATTTGGTTTATGATACAATACTTTGTAAATCTCACATTGTCAGTATGAAAATAAAAAAGTTTATAAAAAAAAAAAAAAAATATTTTTCAATGGGGCTCTTCAGGGATAAACATATCAGGAATGACCCCTGCTGCCATTTAAATAAACAAAAAAGGAGTGTGGTGATCCATTTTCATTGCCGATTGTAGTCTAGAGCAACATGGCCGATTTTAATCTCTTGCTACTACGAGATTTAATCACCACTTATTGAAAGTCATCTTATTAGCAACACATGGAATTCAGTGAGCTGCAAATGAGGACTGCCAACAAGTGGTTAAATCTCTCGAGCAAGGCGATTAAATTCATCCGTTTAACCCTAGCCTTACACTTAATCAAGGTTATTTACAGTTGTAATGGGAATAGAACTATGCATTCTAAACATTTCCTAAATAGGAATTTGAAAAGTGAATTGTAAAGAAAAGTATCAGAGAAAATATCTCGAAGCAAGTCACACCACACACACACACACACACAGCTGTCCCTGAAGTTGACGTTCAGAGTCTTGCAGGCACATTCCACAAGCAACAACAATATTCAGCTATGCAGGTCACATACACAGGAACCTCAGTACAGGCCAGGATTTGTCTTCTCCATCTAGCACTTCTACTAAAAAAGAGAAGTGGACTGATTTAATCATTATTATGTAACAAATAGTTGTCTATTTTTTGAAAAGACCACAAAAGCAGGCAGGATTGAAACGTTGAGTAATGTTGTGAAAAAGTATTATAAATAAGTAAACAAACAGCCAAAGCATGTACAACAGTATATTGTTCAACAAATAGCAATGCACAACAAAAAGCTGTTAAACCATTATGTATATGCATTTAACTGGAAGAAAGGCATCTTGCATTGCATAAAGATAGCAGTTTCACTGCCTCCAAACCATCATAACTCAGCATCTATTAAGGTGACTCCACTCTTGTGCTACAAGCATTTATCAAAAAAAAACAAAAAAACGATAAAAAGTGTAAGCAGCCCAGCCATGTAACACCAAGAACAGAGAGCTGCAAATTACACCGTCAGGTCACAAACTGCTGGACAGGTGAGGTTCTCATTGCTTTGGAGGGGCACACAGCATGAAGTCAAGGTAGCTTTAGCCGTCCCAGTATCAAATTCATCGCCAAGTCAGTTCTTGAATCTAGTTTGTTCACAAATGTGATTGAATTTCCTGTAAAAACAAAAAACAACACAGTATCAGACTGCATAATTTGAATTTTATATTTGATAAATATAAAGATCGGAAAAAGGATATCATTTTTTAAAACTTCTTAGCCTTAAAAGGAGAATTATGAGGTGAGTGCTTTTCACTCATCCTCATTAGTTCTAGCCGACCTGTGACAATGAGACTGTCTAGATAGGCAGAGCCAGCTGTCTAGATAGGCAGAGCCAGAGTCAGCTGTCAGAGCCAGCTGTCACTCACGCAGCTGGGCAGATCCAGACATAATTGTCGGGATCCGCTTCAGCTGCGGCGCCTCAGTATACCGCAAGCTGTAGCTCGCGGTATACTGAGCTTAGGGTGACAGGAGGACGCTAGTTTGTGTCCTCCCGTTACCCTTAGGAGAACTATGGGGAAAACCCCTAACCCCATAGTTCTCCTTTAACCTCTTGCCGTCCGCCCGTAGTAAAAAAACGGACGGACGGCACTGCAGCATCTGCGGGTACTGTAGCCAAATTGAGATAAGAGCAAATGTATATTTGTTAAATGTTTAAATTGACATAGCACAACTTAAAAAAGTAAAACTTTGAAAAATAATACATTCAAACTAGGGATGTACGGATACCGATACTAGTATCGATATCGGTGCCGATACCGAGTATTTGGGCGAGTACTCGTACTTGCCCAAATGCTCCGATGCCTAGCCTGATACTTACTTCCTGTATCAGGAAGCCGGGCAGCACATCATTACACGCTACCCGGATTCCTGATTGGCTGGGAAACCGCATCCATGCTCCCTCGTCACTTGTGACGAGAGCATGGAGCCGACTTCCTGGCCAATCAGGATGCCGGGCAGCGTGTATTGACACGCTGCCCGGCTTCCTGATTGGTCGGGAAGCTGGCCAATCAGGAAGCTGGGCACTGTGTAATGACGCAGCGCCCGGCTTTCCGATTGGCCAGGAAGTCGGCTTCATGCTCCCTCGTCATCTCATGAGGCTCTCATCTCAGGAAGCAGGGCGCCGCGTCATTACACGGCGCCCGGCTTCCATGATTGGCCAGCAAGCCGGCTCCATGCTTTCTCGTCACATAGTGACGAGAAGCATGGGACAGCTTCCTTGTTAACCTGGAAGCCGGGTGGCGAGTCTTTACACGCTGCCCGGCTAATCAGGAAGCCAGGCGGCGAGTCATTACATGCCGCCTGGCTTCCTGAATGGGACTTCCGGTACTCGGTATTTGGTATCGGTGAGCACCGAAAAAATATATCGGTACTCAGTACCAAAATACCGGTATCTGTGTATCCCTAATTCAAAGCCAAGCTATAACGAATACTAGGGATGCACTTATACTTTTCAGATACCAGTGCCAATACTTGGCATGTTCATGAGAACTACCAGAGTTGCAGCAGTTACAGCTGGGGCCTGGCTCTGGCGCTCCACCATTGTCCTGAAATCATTAGTCTGTATTGTTTTAGAAAAACTGTCACATGGCAATAAACAAAAATGAATCAGTACTTGTGCTTGCAAAACTGGTATCGGTGCATCCCTTTATTTATAAAAACAAAAATGTACTAGTCCCAGGAACTCCGTGTGCTCCTTACAAATGACAGCTGCCTCCTAAATTTTGTATTTTTCTCTAGTGTAGTCTTCGAGCTGGAAAAGTATCTGTACTTGTACCGAGTACTGTACTTGGTATCGGTGCATTCCTAACGAATACCA